TAATGGCATATATTGATATTTGCTTGCAAAATCGAATCGGTATTCTATCTAATCGATCTGGGGATATGATTTTCGTTTGATCTGTCGTGTGTATTCATATTGTTCGCACAGAAACCGCAACAGAGAAACCACGAGAGGTTTCGTCATTGCACGGTATCCCCTTTACACGTTAAAGTTTTCCAATCCTATGAAAAATGTGTTCTAAATGCGGACAATGTACGATTAAATTTTCAATTAGAAATTAGAATTCAATTGTCTGTTGTGATTAAAAGTTTGATATTCAGGATTGATATTTTTAAAAGTAAGATTGTGCGATATTCTGTGATAGGATATTGATATAGAATTTTAATTTGTATTTATATAAATGATATTCGTTATCAATTCATTTCTTCTCAGACTCTTCTAGCTAAATTAATTCAATCGAGTGCATCAAAATTGTGCATTCTATCATTATCTAAATTCTACAACATTAAATCCGTTGTTATCAAATAAAATCATGAGATAATATAATAATTCCATTTTAAAATAATCTAATACCTCTTGAATAGAAGTATATTATACAATTATTATACAATTTACTTTATAATTCACTTATTTACTAAGATTTTTATTTGAAAAATTCTATGTAATCTTAATTATTTAACAAATTCCATATTATTTTCCATGTCCTTATTGATCACTTGATTCGTACTTTTTTAAATTAATAACAAATATTATTATTTAATTTATTTCATTTCAATGCACGCTTGCATACTTATCTCTAATTATTTACCCAATTTAGGGATCAATGAAGATCGTCTTCCATTATTAATCAAAAAATAAATCTACAACTATTTTAAAAAACGCAATAGAATACGACTCACACCGCGATCATGTACGCGATACATCGAATCCGCAACAGTTGTCTCCTCGTATGGGAATAAAACGGCAACGCATCTTGACCGTAGTAAACTCTGGTCGGATTATCGCCGGTCAACGAAGTCTTCTCCGAGGAAGGCATGTCTCTCGGTTTGCACGCGCACTCGTCGTCGAGACCACGACCACACTGAAACGATGGCGGCCGGTGGTTCGAGGTGAGCGATGATTTTACATAAGTATCCGCTTACGGTGGGGACACGATCATTTTTTTTTTTCTCTTCCTTCTCTTTATTTCCTTCTTTCTGTCGAGACATGGAAATCGAAAGGAAACTTCGTTGCGGGGTGGAAAAATTGAATCGAAGAATTGAATTACAGCGATTGTCGCGATATCAAAATGGGAAAAAATTCTTTTTTGGAAATTTTTTTTAAATTCTTTTTGCTACGACGAAGAGTCTCGTGATGATGATAGTTAATTGGAGAAGCTTTTCGTGAGGTTTTCTTTTTTTTTTTTTTAAGGAGGTATAATTTAAAAAAATCTTGTTAAGATTTGAAAATCTGTTTCAGTGAAAAGAAATAATTAAATTAATTGGTTGGATTCTTTGATTCTTTGACCTGTTTATTTGATTGTGATTAATTATAGGTGTATCTACGTTACATCACGTGCAACGCATATCTCTGGTAATTATATAAACGCGCTTAATTAAAGACGCAAATTCTTAACGCGGTCAAATATCGGATTGATGTTGTATTGTCCAGATGCATGTTGTATTTTAACACGTGCATCGAACATTCATCGATAGAAAATAATATTTTATTATTGGTAATTAAAATTGTAATATATTATACGTATACTATTTCTTTCAAAGAGAAAAAATATATACATTACACTTATACAAAGAAAGATAATTAAAAGATATTTAAAACAAAAAGAGATTCTCTTTGAAATATAAATAAAAATAAAAAGATTAAGGACAACTTATACTCATTTTACAGCATTCCAATCTTTACTTAAATTTTCTTTTTTAATAATAAATAAGTTCAAAAACAACCAATCCCTCTCTATCCTCTTTCCAATTAAAAAAACAATCTTTCAAAATTGCAACAAACTCAACCCCCTAATCCCCTAATAAAAATTTTCCACAATTCGTTTCATTACAAAAACTTTCTAAAAACTTTTTCACGGCCTAATAACTATAAATGAAATAATAATAAACGAACTCACATCAAAGTGGCGCAGATACAACATTGGAACTGTCTGATACGGGTCTTCCTGCTTCTCAGCAAACTCGCGAATTCCACGTAATCCGGCGAGTCCAGAGGCCTGGTCAGGAATGTCCTCTCGTTCACGCATCTGTTCGTGTACATGTCGCAAGCCTCGCCTGGCCAGCGAATGGAAAACGTGATTCGCCGACGATCAAAAGCTAACTGGACAACGGCCGAGGATCAGAGCCGGGTTTCGCAGCTCGACACCGCTCGAGTCGACTCGGCTTACCGCGGAGGAATTGGCGGAAGTTCCGGTGCTACCAATGGACGCTTGCTCTCCCGTTCCTGTCAGTGCGTCGCGAGCTTTCCACCCTGCATTCATTCGTGAGAAAAATTGACAATTTCCTCTTATTGGACAAATTAATTGAAAATTAGTTGAAAATTACGTTTTCCTTCCTTCCTTGGTGCGAAAGTGTATTTGAGAAAGTAGGTTTAATCTATTCCATTCGAATTTTTGATTTTTGTTCAGATCGTATTCAAAGTCAATCGATCGATTGACCATTTCTTGATTCATTTTTCTATAAAATTTAATATAAATATTTCTAGTTCTTCTTATTTTCTGAATTTTATTGATATACAACATTGGTATATTTTAGAATCGAGTAATTTAAAATTGGATAAGGATTGGATCGAGGATTGTGGTTTTTTTTATTAATATATATTATTGAAAGTTTGAGAGATTCGATCTCGTAACAATGAGTTTTAAATCAAGATTTCGTTGAAGACGAAGATAGGATCGATATTCTTACCCAAGAAAAAATGAAATATCGATAAACACAGGCGAAACACGATACGAACGAAATTAATCCCGGCACAACATGTTGAAACATCGTATAAATTTTCAAACACTTGGAACTTTCAAAATCAACCGTGATTAAAATTTTTTCAAATGTGTATAATATAATGAATATATCTATAACGATATTCTTGTAAATTGTAAAAAAAATATTGAAAAATCTCCTAAAAATTTCCACGAAATAAAAATCGTACAAATTGAAAGTGCGGGAAAAGTTTCTGAATTCTTATTAAAGTAACAAGAACAAGTGCAACGATCGAAGAGAGGGACAATTAATCCTCAGATCACCCTCAAATCGTCCTCACACTGTTCACGGTGAGTGAGGCAGATTTGAATACTTTGACGAGTCTCGCTTATTGTCTGAGGTATCCAATAAATATAGCCTCCAGCGTGCATACTCGATCTACAAGTCGACTGGTTCGCTTATATAAGAAGAATCGAGGATCGATGGCCGAGAATGAAACACGAGTCGCCTTATCGTGTTTTTTATGAGTGGATCGAGGCCGAGAAACAGAGATCGATTTATGATGATCGAATACTTTTTTTGTATTTTAAAATAAATTGATAAACCAAATGACCGCACACACCTTATGACTCTTTTGAAAAAAAAACATTGGAAGCTTTGAAAACTTTGTACACGTAAAAGAATTCTAAGAAAACTTGAAGATGAATCCTTCAATCTATAACAAGCCATATAAACAAAAAGAACAGGAAATTAAAAGCTCACGCAAAGAGAATTAAAAATCAATCACTCTGTCCATCATTTTCGATTTTCCATCGAAAATATTTTTCTTAAAAATCTACTATTCACAACAATTACACAACAAATATCGTATCACATTTATAAAAACTCGCAATTCACTCGCATTTTCGCACTCAATTCTTTCTGCAGTCAACAATCATCGGACGAATCACCGGTTCGTACGCGACACTCGCACACTTGAACGGCAAAAATCGATTCGATAATCGCCCTGATGACCACCCTCTGTCGTCGAATCGGCGATCAACGAGCTCCCTGTTGATTATCCACTCACTCTCTCTTTCTCTCTCTCTCTCTCTTTCTCTCTATCTATCTCTCCTTTCCCCATGTGTGGCTAGGCAGGTAGTAATTATGAAAGCCTGGTGAACCGGTGAATCGATCGTCGCGCATCCACCGCTAATTACAATCTTCGACGCGTCGTAAACGCGTGTAATTAACTCGATCGAATGCGAAAATTAACGGAGCGACGATAATCCGGATCGTTTCATCGTGTAGGGGCAACGAGGAATCGACTGGTATCAGGCAGAGGTCGACGGCTTAGCTTTCGTGTAGCGCCCCCTCCGCCCCCCTCCTTTTCTTTTATCCCATAATCTATGCGTAACGTAATGCGCGAGAAAAGGTTTCTTTCGACGTATTGGTTGGGCTTCGCGGAGAATTCGTGAGAGCTTTGTCGGAAGTATTACGTAATTCGTCGTTCTTTTATTCTTTAATTATTTGAAATTACCGCCCTATCGATCGAATTATCATCTCTGTTTTACCAATGGGGATGGGATTGAGTTATTCGAATGATTTTTTTAAATAATACTGTAAAAAGTATTGTAGTTGATTGTGTATATATATATATATGTGTGTTTAAGAGAAATTAAAATGGAGAAATTTTCGTGAAATAAATGTTAGATGACGATGTTAGAACTATATTTATTTTAATTCTTTCCTCCAGATGATTGTAAAAGTGTAGTATAATTTTATAAAATTTGAAAGAAGGAAAGTACAATTTGAATGATTAATGTTATTATATTGATATATAAGTTATATAAATTGTTGTATAAGTATAATGATCTGCGAATACTTTTCCAGATTATTGTGTATATTTAATTGAGATTTATGACACTTAAGAGACGTATTTCCTAACAGCATTGTGATTTTAATCGTAAAATTATACGTAGGATGTATCAAGTTTTGCCATATAACCACAGATGCGAAACGTAATTAGAAACTTGATCATCGAAGCATCGACAATCTTTAAATATATAGGATAGGAATATTTTTAGAAACAAACGATATGAATCTAAGTTTTAGTATCTCACGATTGATTCGAGAGTATAATAATAAATTCGTTGAAATATTATTTGGTCAATATTCGGTACAGCAAAAATTATATCTCTTCGAGGCGCGAAGCTCCAACCATTGTTCCTGGTTGGGCACGTACATTTCCGCCGGCATCCGTTCCAATCCAGGGGATTCTGGCGATCCACGCTCGTTTGTTCTTCTAGCTGAAACGTTAAACGAAGATATAAAATTAGATGCGAATTTACATTTCTATATTTTTGGATTTGCACCAGTCACGATTCGTATCGTATGAAATTGTTTGTAACAATTCAATGGTTCGATTCTTATTTCAATAAAAAAGTTAAAGACGAATTTATACTTTTGCACGTTCGATTTTCATGATCGATTACTCATCTTTTTATAAATATAAAATATGAAAGTATTTATAGAATTCTCTCTCAGTCTAGTTTTCGAAATGAAATAATACCAAATACTAAGACTAAAGTAGTCCATGTTCCTTTTTTTATTTTTTTTTTTATAATAGATCTTTTTACGTAATTTTTTATTGTGCCAAACTTTTAAAATTTGATTCATAATTTGTGCATCGAAGAATATCAAATCCAAAATGTAAAGTCTAAATTAAGGATAGATTTGTAGAGAATCAAATTTCTATGAACGGATATTTTTAGTCCTCTTGTATTTTTATATTAAATTTTAAACGCGCATAAATCTAAATAAAAGATCCGCAACAAAACCAATCGTAATTTTAATTTCAATTCTTACCAAGTCGTTTGCGCATGGAGATAGCCTCGCCAGGATGTCGAAGAAGCAATCGTCCAACCCCCTCGCATCTTCGCAACACTTCGTTCTTTAAAAGATGATCCCGTACGTTCTGAGAAATTATCGGACAATTGGTCACCCATTTCGACACGTAAGCGAAGTCCGTGAGCAATTGCAACGCGCCATATTCGCTAGAAAATATTCCTTCGATCGTAGAAAACACTGATCTATTTTATTTCATCCCGTATTTCATCGACGTATAAAGAGACAAGCCAGAGTTTCTTTTTTTTATTTTCTTTTTTTTTTTTTTTTTCCTCCCGGTTTTCATCGACGTATAAAGAGACAAGCCAGGGTTTCTTTTTTTTATTTTCTTTTTTTTTTTTTTTTTACCTAAATTTAATTCGATGCAAATATATGTAATCCAACCAAGCTTCGCACATAATTTTCAGGATCATGTTCGACGTATCGGGATCCTCGATAACTTCCAATACAGGGAGCAGTACTTTCTCTGCGGGGAATCGAGAGCCTCTTAGAGAATCAAGAGCGAAAGGGTGAAAGGGATTTTCTTACCAAAGTAAGGCTGCACGTAGAGGCTAGCCGCCACCGGGGCTACGTCGCCACCTTTCCTCCAATAACTCGACCTTGGAAAGCACATATGCAAATTTGCCAGGCTGACCACGCGGCAGATCTTCGCCAGAATATCCGTACACTTGGTGGAACATTTCTTGGTGGAAAGTTATACATGGAGCAAATAAGAATCCTCTCTTTACTTTACTTCTTTCTTTTTTTTTTTTTTTTTTCCAAACAAACAAAATCTATATACCTGGAGTAGATCTATATTCACGTTCACCTCGGATACAATTTTTGCCCTCATTTTTGCGCAAACGTATACCTGGACGCTCACAGAATCTGTCGATAATGCATTGATATGATCGGCAAGCTGAAATGACCAAATTTTAATTTTTAAATCGTTCAGAGGAAAAGAATATAACGACATCCACCTTTAAGTAAGAAAGTTCCTCGAGGCAATTAATTATGTCGCCCTTCACCAAAAGGAAGAACACGTCCAGTTCCCACGTATGCGCTATGATTTTCGCCTCCTGCACTATCCACAGCCTCGCTGTGTGCACCGAATGATCTAACCGATGGAGGACGACGATCTGTTCCGACAATGGCAACTCCATCAATGGGGCACCTATCACCCATTCGCCGCCTGCCTCGCACTCGTTGCTCAACCTGACCAGCAATTGGAACAATTCCCCGAACATTTGGCCCGTGTCAGATCCCTGAAGAAATGTGAAACGAAATCGTGTCGAGATGAATGATTAAAATTAATTAGAACGAGAAAAGATGGCTCACGTCCGTGGAGGAAGCTTTCGATTGGCACTTGAAAGCCGAGGTGTATGCCAATCTAAATAATTGATCCCATTCGATGATTGTGGCATGGCAACGAAGAGCATCGCAGAGGTTTTGCAATGCTGGCCTCACCGTTTCTGGCACTGCTCATAGAAATATTACAATTTAATTTAACAAATTGTTTCAATTCCGATTCGACTTTGTTATGTGTTCGTTTCTACACCGTGATTTTTCTGGATGAATTGACTGAGCCAGTCCTTCAATTGCTGTGCTCCGTGACTGTGACGAGTCGCGAGGGCCTCCGGAGACCACCAGAGGACCACGTGATCCAGAATGCTCGACAAAGCACCCCACGCGACCTCTTGGTAGTAATTCTTCACCTTCTTTATCGCGCTACTTCTCAGCCTCGTCTCACCTTTCACGATTATATCGTGATCACGGGCATATTTCATTTTATTACATTTCAATTGCGTCGGATTACAGTTAAGGTTAAGGTTTTTGTTTACTTGATGTGCTACGTACCATTGATAGTTTTCAGGGCATCTGTGCCCAACAATCTAGGCGAAATTTCTTGCACAACGTTCAACAGCTTAAGAACGTACTTGTTTTGAGTGTTGACCAACGTCTGAATACTTTCGATATTCGACACTTCCGGTTCCGTCTTCGACGAAGAACTCTCGATCGGTGGCGTCAAATGTCTCGTGAGGGCTCTGCAAATCAAATTTTTCATTTTTCAAAATATACCAACAACCGAAAGAGATTCTATTATTTCACACGTGAAGAATGTTGAATGCTGGTTAACCAACCGATAAATTTCAATACTCGAATTGTCCGAGACATCAGCATCACCAGAAATTGTTGAAGAAGGATCGGTCTTCTCCTGAGGCTCGTAATTTGTTAAAAGGCAGTCGATGAGTTCGTGGCAGGATTCCTCGGCTCTGTTTTTGGCTAATATCTGAAAAAGACGAAGTTGTGAAAATGTTATCAAAATTAAAAAAATAATTATTTTTTATATGAAATATTGTAAATATGTTATATTAGGCTATATTATGTTAGGCTATATTATATAGATTATATACAGAGAATATTATTTATTAATTATTGTTTAGAGTGAAATCAATGTTTAAAATTTCAATATTATTTTTTTAAATATACGATAGAGCAAAATTTTAAACTAATATTAAGATAATTTTAAACTATAATATGATATTCAGATTTTTAATGGTGTTTAATTAAAATTTAAATAATTAAGATATATATTAATTATATATTTTGGTATTTAAATTCGAAATTTTTTAGAAAATGAAATTTCAGAGAAATGAATGATAATGTAATACTCTACTTTGTTTTTTTTTTTTTT